TTGTGTTACTTTTATAATTAGAAGAAAGATAAAATGTATTTAAACATCATCGATACTTCTTTTGTTGTTATTTTGCTGGGGTTTTTTTTTTTTGGTCCATAGAATGAACAAAGATGAAAGTCTGATAATACTCCATGGCGACAGAATTCAGAGAAATGGCTGCTTTCCTCCATTGCCATGGTTAGAGCATGGGGCATAGCAACATGGCCAAACCACATGGTGATGAGGATGTACAGCAATGAAAACTTTTACAGTGATAGTGGCAGGGTAAGGTACTTCAACCAATGTGGAGACCAATTTGGTGACCAATTCAGCAATATCCAGTAAAAACGAAGACACACACCCTATGCTCTAGCAATTCTACCCCAGGGAGAAACTGTTGTTCATGTATGCAAGAGGATACTTACAACAATGTGGTATCACCTCACACCTGTCAGAATGGCTGCCATCAACAAATCATCAAACAAGTGTTGGTGAGGATGTGGAGAAAAGGGGACTCTAGTACACTGCTGGTGGGAATGCAGACTGGTGCAGCCACTATAGAAAACAATATGGTGTTACCTCAAAAAATTAAAAATTGAACTTCCATTTGACCCAGTGATCCCACTTCTAGGAATATACCCTAAGAAGCCTGAAACATCAATCAGAAAGAATATATGTACCCCCATGTTCATAGCAGCACTATTGACAATAGCTAAGATCTGGAAACAGCCCAAGTGTCCATCAGTAGACGAATGGATAAAAAAGCTGTGGTACATATACACAATGGAGTACTATGCAGCTGTAAGAAAGAAAGATCTCTTTTCCTTTGAGATGACATGGAGGGGCCTGGAAAGTATTATCCTAAGTGAAACAAGCCCAGCAGAAAAAGACAAATACCACATGATCTCACTTATATATGAAATACAATGAATATAACAGTCTGAGGAATAGGGTAGACCCAGAAACACGGAAGTAAGGTACAGACTGACAACCCTCAGAAGAGGGGGTGGTGGGGGGGTGGGAAGAGATAAACCACAGAACTTATGTGCATGTATGCGTAACCAATGGACATGGACAACAAAGCCAGGGACCGGGCAGGGGGATTGGAAGGAGGGTGTCAATGGGGTAAAATAGGAGAAACATCTGTAACAAAAATAAAATTAAAAATAAATAAATAAAATAAAACCGTTCAAAGGCCCTAAAAAAAAAAAAAAGAATATTCATTGTAATATTGCTCATAATAGTGAAAAATGTAGACTATTAATGTCTACCAAGAAGGCAATAAAAATTTGATGGCATAGTCATATAATGAATACTATACAGAGAGCTTTAAAAACAAATGAACTAGAGCTATATGTGTAGAACTGGATAAGGCTCAAAAGTATAATGCTATACAAAAAGAAAAAGTTGCAGGAGAAAACACACAGTATAAAGTTTAAAAACAAGTAGAAGAGTGTCATATATTGTTTATGCATGCAGAGACCTATACCTATGCATATGCATATATGCAACCTCCTGCATGCACCCTCTACTGGGGATCGAGCCCACAACCCAGGCATGTGCTCTGACCAGAAATTGAACCAGCGACCTTCCAGTGCTTGGGATGACACTCAACCAACTGAGCCACACTGGCCAGAGCTCACAGAGTTTATTTTTTATTATTCTTTATTAATTATTGTATTATTGGCCATATGAACAACTGTAAACCTACTTATGCCCACCTTGTATATAGTGAAAATTACAAATTCACATGGGACTCAGAAACACCAAATTGAGGATAGTGATTCCTCTAGGTAAAGAATAGGCTATGTCCCTGGCCAGTTTGGCTCAGCGATTGGAGGGTAGGCCTGCAGACCAGAGAGTCCTGGGTTCTGTTCCCGCTAGGGTCACGTACCAAAAAAAAAAAAAAAGAATAGGCTGTGGGAGGATTAGATAGGGTGTTTCAATATGTCTTGATATTTTAATTTGCTAAGAAAATGGATCTGAAGAAAATATGGCAAAATGTTAAGGTCTGATAACCTGAATGTTGGCTACATAAGTATTTATTATCATATCCAGGAACCTTTAGGATTTCTTTATTTTATTTTTTTAGGATTTCTTGAACTATTTCATTATGAAACAAATAGAGAAAAATGCACACGTGCTTTGAACTAGCAATTTCCCTGATGGAAATTTATTTATTTATTCTAAGAAAATCCTCACAAATGTGTGCAGGGATTTCCCTACCAATATGTTCATTGGAAGTATTATTTACAATATAAAAAAGTTTGACATTTTCAAAACAAAAATTTTGACAGTGTTCTACCAGTGGAGAAGCCTCACTGCTTCTCTAATAAACACTCTTTCACTAAAAAAACCAACAAACAAAAGACTTGGACAAAATAAACAACAAATAATAAAAACAAACAAATGAACAAAAAGCTTTGTTTCAGGTCATATTTTCTGTGTATAATTTCATAACACCCCTTTACTGCCCCCAGTTTTCAAACACACACATAAAACAATGAATTACCCTCTCTTATGGACTCTTTCATGATTATCTACCTCTCTGACCAAACTGTAAGTTCTTTGATATATGGGCCTGTGTATTGTGTTGAATCTACACAATGCTTGAACTGTACCTGACACAGATGGGATGCTCAGTGGGGGCTTTTTTTAAGTTAATCAGGCTGAGTCTTGAGGCTTAGACAGGCTTCAGTAAGCAGAGAGTAGTGAGAAAGTTTTCTCAAGAGAAAGGAATGGCATGAGCAAAGCTAAGGAAGCAGGAATGTATATTTTGTATTTACTAAGAACATTTGATTTGCCTGGTCAGAACTGAAAATTAATATAGATGAAAATGCCTAGAACACTAGATTCTTAATAAAAATTTGGTGAATCAAAGAATAAATGAAATTTGAAAAGCAGGTTTAGATCGCATTGAAAGGGCCTTGACTGTTGAATAAGAACTCTAAACAGTATCTAGTTCTTGACATGCAAGATCTTCTCTCAGTAGCAGGAAGAGAGTGTGATCTTGAACAAATCTTTTATATATCTTCTTCCCTAAATAATAAGGAAAAGTAGAAACAATTGGGAATTTGAAAGTGACCTGTTTCCAAACTCAGGAAGAGGACAAATCAACTTACCTACTCAGAAAAAGCCCTATTATGGAGTTTTATGACATCCAATATCTCTCAGATGAAAGGACATCACAGAATATTGGATGAAAAAAAATAAATAAATGCATCTATTCAATACAAGTTATGCTTGCCTTTGGAAATAGTGGATGAAATTATTTTGGTTAATCTTACTACATTTTTAAAGTTTAACAAGCATATATTTATGAAATAACTAGACTCTAACACTTTTTTTAAGGGATTCCACTTTAGTCCATAGATTACAAAGCTCCTCATGGTGCCATATCTCAAATGTTAGATTAAACCCTTTTAAATAATTTTAGCCCAATTGAGCTCCCTCCAATAGACAATTTTCTATTTATTTAGCATTTATGTTTTGTTTTCTTCCAGATAGACTTGTGGGGACTGACAATTTAAATAATCTGATTATGATAACTGAGAAAAGGAAAAGTATGTTGTCTTTTGAAGTTATCATTTCCTTGGTCATTCATAAATAGGCTGGCATCTATTTCATCCTTGCTCATAGTCACATACACCTTTGCATACAACCCAAAATGATAAGGAGCAAGTGTGAAGTAAAGTGTCTATTAGCTGCTCTGCAAAAAAGATTTCTTTTGAATCTTTAGTCAAATTCTACAAAAATCTTAGCTGAGAGGAAATGTAAACCTCAGGTAACATTTTTTAAACCTATTTTTGGCCCTATTATGATGTAGCATTGATTTGTTCCGGAATTTAAAAAAATTTTGTTAATCCTCACCTTTGAGGATATTTTTTCCATTGATTTTTCAGGGAGATTGTAAGGGAGGGAGGGAAAGAGGGGGAGAGAGATAAACATTGAGGTGAGAGTGACATGCACCTGGACCAGGCAGGGATTGAACCTGCAACCCATACCTGGAATCAAATCTGCAATCCTTTGGTCCGCAGGCTGATGCTCTAACCACTGGCCAGGGCTGTTCCAGATTTTTTAACATTACTGGGAGAAACCATAAGTGGTGGTCAGAATGACTTGTAGTTTACAAAGCATGTGGGAATTTTTTTTTCAGGAAAGTAGACAAGATAATTTGAGCTTTTGATTCAGGTAATAAAGTAGAATCAAGTGATAAATAATTTGGGCCATATGTACAAATGGACTGTGACACAGCTAAATTAGTCACAACTGTCCAGCACAGGCCAACTTCACCATAGCTAAAGGGCTATATATACCAGTTAGCAATGTTCCCTTAAAACCAGTCCTGATGTGTTTGTAAGCAAGAGCATAATTCTACAGCTACAGTCAACTAAGATGTATCAGGTCAGCCCTCCAAGCCCAGCCAAACCCATATCTTACTGCAAGTTTATAGAGATTAGCATATCACATGAGCCAAATGCTGTTTCCCAACTTAAAATATGATACTACTACCTTATAGAAAAGGCTTAAGCCCTGTTCTGCAACACCAATAAAATAGAAGTATTTATAGATAGTGTGTTCATTGTGGTCCAATAACTGAAACATAAAATAGATATCTGGTAAAAGAATATTTTAAAATGTCAAGACATATAAGAATTAGGACTTGGATATTGAATGTCAACTGTAGCTGAAATATAAAAAATAAAAAAATTTAAAAATGAATTAGGGCTTGGAAAATAAATGACTAAGAAGAAAGATAAGAAAATATCTGGGATTTATCTGAAGACCTGGCTGGGAGGCCAAGTCCTCCCTGTGGCAAGCTGCCATTGCCATGGAAACCAGTGGGCTAGGTAGGAGGGGATTGTGACGCTGGGGGGCAGGGAGGGGTGATGACCAGTGGCTTGTCTACTCTCCCTCAGACCCCTGCCAGAGGCTTTGCAGCACTGCAACTTCCTTAACACAGCAGTGGGAGTGGTGCCCTGAAACAAGCCCAGAGAGACTGCTGCCCTGCCGCCTTGATGACAACACCACCATATCCCTTCCTGGGTGAGGCTGTGCCACAGCCCTCATGGGTCTATGGCCTCTCTCAGATAACCAGCAGCCTTTATATAAGTAATGCTGTGGCGGCTAACAACAGATTCTTGTTGTCCAGCAATCATATCACTACTGTCATCAATGTTTCAGTGGAAGTAATCAACACATTTTTTGAGGACATCCAATACCTAAAGGTACCGGTGACCGACTCTCCCAGCGCACGCATCTACGATTTTTTCGACCCCATAGCTGATCACATCCACAGAGTGGAAATGAAGCAGGGCCGCACGCTGGTGCACTGCGCCGCTGGCGTGAGCCGCTCCGCTGCTGTCTGCATGGCCTTCCTCATGAAGTACCACACTGTGTCACTGCTGGAAGCCCACACATGGACCAAGTCATGCCGCTCCATCATCCGACCCAACAACGGTTTCTGGGAACAGCTTATTGAGTATGAATTCAAGCTGTTTTCCAAAAACACTGTACAGATGATCAGTTCTCCCATGGGTATGATCCCAGACATTTACCAGAAGGAGTTACGTTTGATGATGTCAATGTGAGCCGGCCTGGCCAGCCCTTCACTCCTGCTGTTGATCCTACACCAACATTGAACGTGATAGCTGAACTTTGATCGGTAAAGAAAACCCAATGCCTTTTAGAAGGACAAGCAAAAAAGGAGGGCTGATGAAGGTTTTAGCTTAGCGAGCCTTGTCTCTAAAGAATAAAATCCATTCGATGTAAGTTGGTGACAATATTTCTTACCCTGTGTGCCACTGGTCATGGCTGCTGGAGCCTGGCCAGAGAGGAGGGTGGGGAAGGTGGTGCCCAGCTCAAATGGACCTGCATCTGGGCCCTGCCTAAGTGCCTGATGCTGACTAACCCAGGAGTGACCCCCTCCCACCTCTCCCCAGAATCCTGCCTGGTTCTTCCATCCCAAAGCCACAGCCTTAGACATCATGGCACTCCTTGCATGATATAAGTACCAACCTACTGGATAAGTAGCCTTCATGGGGTGCTCTGGAAACCTTGGGGGCATTGGGGGAGTTTCAGGCCACCCCTATCCTTACCTTCAACCACAGTGGCCCAACTCTGGTTTTCTAGACCAGATTTACATATAAAATAGTTTTCAAAGAAACCATTCCACTATATGAAGTTTAAAAACATTTTTTTCAAGTGTTGTACTAGATGCCAAAGCTTCGAGGTACCCTTGGCAACTCCAACCAGCCTTTGTGAAAAGGGTCATTGATCCCCTTCTCCAGGGCAAGTGCTAAGAGAACAGGCCTGACACCAGGCCTCAGGAGTTTCTCTTATGGATCTTGACTTAGAAGGCTGGAGCTGCTGGCTAGGACACAGTCCTGTCATCTCTGATACCTCTTCCCATTGTGAGCTGGGGGCTCTCAGAGCCTCTGTTTCCCCACCTGTCAAAGCAGTGACAGCCCATCTCTCACAGGGTGGCTGTGAGGTTTAGATTTCTTAGCATAAGACCTAGCACATGAATGGTTCCATGCTTGGAGTAAAGGGCAGCTCTTGTTCTTAGTGATACTCATTGGCCCTGCAGGGTGGGGGTCAGTACATTCATTCTCACAATGACATTTTCCCCATCTGTGCACAGCTCTTTGTTATCTACAAAGTGCTGTTCCAAAAACTCATCCTGTCTATAAAAATAAATGGTTTAAGTTTCCTTAGGATTTTACCTCAGAGGAAGCCTAGATTTAGAGCCTTTTCAGAGTTCTCATTGTGTCACTGTGTTTAATATACATTCAAGCAAGAAGCAAGAAGTACAATTCCAGCCACTGCCCCTCCAACCACCATCACCAAAGGCCTTGATTAGAATCACTGACCATTAGGAACCAGTGACCCAGGATCCACAAGGATCCATGGAAAAACTTGCCAAAGGGACAAATGAATGGTCCCCAAAAGTAGGCCCTGGAATACAGAATTCTTTTTCTTTTTTTAATTTTTTTTTCTTTCTTGATTTTAGAGAGAGAGAAAGGGAAAAGGAGAGAGAGATAGAAACATCGATGAGAGAGAACATTAATTGACCACCTCCTTCATGCTCCTCTACTGGGTATTGGGCCCACAATCTGGGCATGTGCCCTGACCAGGAATCAAACCAGCAATCTCTTGGTGCATGGGTCGATGCTCAACCACTGAACCACACCAGCTGGGCAGAATACAGAATTCTTTAAACTCTCTACAGACCTGGCTTGGGAGCAGCTATCCTAATCCAGAGGATTTTAGGCAATAAATACATGAGATAAAAGCACAACTACTTTAGTTAACATAGACCTGTGGGTCCAAAGCCCAGGGGAGTCTGAATGCCCTTTCTCTACAAGCCTACCCCCACCTACCCTTCCACAAAAGGAGAGCCCAAGGATGCATTTGGGGGTGGATGGAGTAGGACGCTACAAAAACCACTGCTCTAGATAGATCCCTCCTTTTACATATAGAAGAACAGTGTCGCAGAACACAGGGGCTAGTCTGGCAGAGCCCCCCAACAAAGCACCTTTTCTGGCAGAAATCCAGATGGAAAATCCTTCCTTCCCTCTTCCTAGTTGCTGGTGGTTGCTGGCAATCCTTGGTATTCCTTGGCTTCTAGATGCATCATTGTGATCACATGATCATCTTCCCTAGTGTGTCTTCACATCTGTTTCCCTCTGTGCATGTCTGTTCAAATCTTCCTCTTCTTATAAGGACACCAGTCATATTAGGGGTTTAGCATGACCTCATCTAAACTAATTACATCTGTAACAACCTTATTTCCTAATAAGGTCACATTCCGAGGTTCTGGGGGTTGAGACTTCATATTTTGGGGGGATACAGTTCAGTCCATAACAAGGTTGTTCCCAGTTTTTGTTAAGTACACATAAAGTGCTGTAACACAGAGAGACACAAACACACACAGAAGAAAAGGATCATGTCACCTGTGTGGGGGTTCAGAAAGAACTACCTCGAGATGGGCTTCTGTAGCATGCAGATTATTTTGTGCTAAAGATTTTAGTTTTAGGCTCAAAAGAAATGTCTGCCCCTCCCTTAACTGCCTAGAAGAACTTGAATTGGGGGCCTTTCCCATAATAAGAGATTATTAGAGATAACCTCTTTTAATCCACCTATATTACGGGGCAAACTTCTAATAACTAAACACCTTCTCTTTTTATCATTCCGCAATGACCCTTTGAAGCCCAAAAGGCACCTTTCCTCTTATCCCTAGGTCAGAGTGTCTTATATATCTATATTCTTTTTCTGTCTTTGAACCTCTTGTGCATATGAAGTCTTTGACTCTCTCATGTATGTGGGGTTTCCATACATATGTATGTATTAAATTTGGTTATTTTCTCTTGCTAATCTGTCTCATGTCTCTTTTATTATTAGACCAACCAAAGAACCTTGATGATAGAGGAAAGTCCTCCCTACCTCCACCCCCCGTCATACCTGGGAAAAAAAGAATTGTAGCTGTTTAAAAGTAGAATATGAGTTACAATGAAAAATAATAATAACCACCATTTATTAGGAAGCTACAGTATCAGGCATTTTACAGTTTCTCTAGCCCTTACAGCAGTCCTTCAAGGTAGTTATTACCCACATCATACTAATGAGAAAACAAGGTTCCAAGAGGTTAAAAAATTTGCACTCAGCCTAAGAGTGAAGGGATGACAAAAAGACTGGGCTCTGTTTTCATGCATTTCTTTTTAGACAAATATATGTAAGCAGATTGGAAAAAAAAAAAAAAGGAAAATTTTGAGTTCTATTCTTGATTGTCTAATAGTATACATACAAATCACCTAGGGAGATTTCATTATACAGAGACCTGGGCCTCACAATCACAGATTTAGGTCCAGTAGGTAATAGGTAAAGTCCAGGAAGTAACATTTTGAACAAGTATCTCGGATGACTCTTATGAAGACTAAGAAACATCAACCAAACAGTTGTTAATACTAGGTGTTCCATATCATCTCATCTTTGTCCTTCTTTTTTGAATTATCTATTTATGCCTGTAGACAGTTTTCTATCAGAGAGTAAATGTTTTTTTTTTCAGTTGTAAGAACTGAAATATAGAATAAGGATAGTCAACTTTTCTTGTGAAATATGTTGCATATATTTCCCGCAGTTTATCATGTGCCATTTGTTTATGGTGCTTGCTTGCAATTCAAAGGTTTAACTTTGTATTATTAAATCTATTAGTCTTTAACTGAATGGTTTTATTCTTCTAAATAATACTTTAAAGGTTTTCTCCATTGCATAATCATAAAAATGTTAACTATTATTTTCTCCTAATTTATGTGTTTTTTTTTTTTTTACTTTTAAACCTTTCCTCAACTTTTCAATTTGAAAATTTTCAAGCATCCAGAAAGCTGAAAGAATATATAGCACAATGGGTAGTTATATTGGCTCCACTTAGTTTAATCAATTATTAGCCTTTTGCCATATTAGCTTTCTCTTTCTATCAATGTAATATATTTTTTTCTGACCCATTTGAAAGTAAATTGCAAATATCATGACCACCTTTGAATATTGCAAATTGTATCACCTAAGAATAAAGATATTCTCAACATACAATATCATGATCAAATCTGAGTCAATTAATTAACAGTAATTCCCTCATTATTTAAAGTTTCCCACTTAAGCTATAAATGTCCTTTATAGCTATTTATTTTCTTTCCCAAACAGGATCTAATCAAGGTCACACACTATGTTTCATTCTTGTATTTCTTTTAATCTAGAACGATGCCTCTGCTCTTTTTTCTCCCTGACGTTGTCCTTTTGATGAGTCCAGAACAATTTTGTGGTATAATGTCCAGCATTATGGATTTGCCTAATTATTTCCTCATGCTATTGTTTTGCTTGTTCCTTTATCACCTGCATTATCTTTAAACTGGAGGTTGAGGTTTGAAAAGATTTGTGTTAAATATTTTTTGCTAGAATACTTCATAAGTGAAGTCACGTCACATTATATTAGGAGGCACAAATTTCTCTTTATTCTATTAGCAGTGATACTAAGTTTGATTACTTAGTTAAGCTAGTGACCACCAGATACTGACCTTTAAAACTTGTAAGTAATCTCCACATCCTAGCCAGCACTTGTTGTTTGTTGATTTATTGATGGCAGTCACTCTGGCAGGTGTGAGGTGATATCTTGGTGTGGTTTTAATTTGTATGTCTCTGATGACTAGTGATGTTGAGCATTTTTTCATATGACTAGTGCTGGCAAGGATGTGGAGAAAAGGGAATCCTTGTGCACTGTTGGTAGGAATGCAGACTGGTGTAGCCACTGTGGAAAACAGTATCCATATTGTTTCCTCAAAAATTAAAAATGGAACTGCCTTCTGACCCAGCAATCCCACTTCTGGGAATATATTCTAAGAAAACTGAAACACTAATTTGAAAAAATATATGCACCCATATGTTCACAGCAGCATTATTTACAATAGGCAAGATCTGGAAACAGCCCAAGTGTCCATCAGCAGATAATTGGATTAGACCGCTCTGGTACATTTATGCAGTGGAATATTATGTGGCTGTATTAAAGAAGGAAATCTTACCTTTTGTGATAGCGTGGATG